CGAAACCTCGACGGGGGCGGCGGTTTTGCTTCATGCCGCATGCATTCCAAACGATGTTGGTTATTCGCGGATCGTGGAAAGACAGCGTGTTTTGCAAGGCCATTCCTGCACCGTGCACTTCTTCTCCTTGGATTCTGCGGGTGTTCTGTCCTCGGAACCCCTCCAAAACGCGCTTTTGGAGCCTGCAAAATTGCGTTCTGGAGGTCGGTCCGGAGTTTATGCTTTGCGGGAGGCAGTAGTGCGGCGCGTCCAACGCGAGGTCTCGGCTACTGGCCAGGCCAAGCCAAGCTTCTTCATGTGGAACCCAGCACGAGCGAGTCAGGGGGACGAAAGCAGCGGTTACTTTTTGCTTTCCTCGCCTCCGAGCGGCATGAGGTTCGGACCTTGCAAAACCTGCTTTTCCAGGCTGCAAAAGCACATTTCGGCGGTCCGTTCAGAGTTTGTGCTTTGCAGGCTCCGAGCGCCTTTCGCTGCACAGGTCACAGGATTCGGCTTCGCCGTGTCGGTCTTTAACGCCTGTTTTCACACGCGTCAGACACGGACGTTATTGGCTCACCCCCACCCCCCACCATCCCCACCTGGAACCAACAAGAACGTGCTGGCGCCAACGCGACTTCCTTTGCTGCACGCGTCAATTACCAACGTTGTTAGCCCCCCACCCCGGGACCCCTCGCACCTGCTGCTGCCAACGAGCGTCAAAATCGAATGTTATTAGCCCCCCACCCCACCCCCCACCCACCCGCCCCCCCATGGGACCAACCAGAGCGTACTGCTGCCAACGCGACTTCTCTTGCTCCACGCGCCAAACACGGACGTTCTTGGCCCCCCACCCCACCCCCCCATCCGCCCCCTCAGGACCAACCAAAACGTACTGCCCACCCCCCCTCTCCAACCAAGCCCCACCCGCCCCCCCTGGAACTAACATGAAAAAATGGTTCTTAGCCCCCCGCATCAAACACGTCGAACACGGACTTTATTAGCCCCCCCCTGGAACCAACAAGAACGTGCTGCTGCCAGCGACACTTCTCTTGCTGCACGCGTCCAACACGAACGGTATTAGCCCCCCACCCCACACCCACCCTCCCTCAAAAACATGCTGCTGCCAACGAGCGTCGATATCGAAATGTTATTAGCCCCCCACCCCACCCCACCCACCCGCCCCCCCATGGGACCAACCAGAGCGTACTGCTGCCAACGCGACTTCTCTTGCTCCACGCGCCAAACACGGACGTTCTTGGCCCCCCACCCCCCCACCCGCCCCCCCAGCGACTTCTCTTGCTCCACGCCAAACACGGACGTTCTTAGCCAACCGGGCGGGCTTGCCCTTCTTCCCCTTGCCGTGGCCTTTGCCTTTGGGGCGCCTCGGCGGGGTACGGGGCCGGGAGTCGTCGCGGCGCTCTCGCTCCTCAGCCGGCACAAAGAACCAGTAGCCAGGTCCATCGCCGCGCGGCACCCAAGCCCACGACCCTGGTCCCAGTCCTAGGACGCGTGGCGGTGCCGACATCGGACCTGGGAGGAGTCGAAAGCCGGCCCCACCCCCCCACCCCACCCCCCCCCCACCCCCCCCCCCCCACCCCCCCCCCCCCACCCCCCACCCCCCCACCCCCCCCCAAGAACCAACCGGAACGTGCGTTTCGAGCCTCCAAGAATACGTTTTCCATGGAAGCAATGAAACTGCTTTTGCTGCAAGCGTCCTGACGTTCTTAGCCCCCCACCCCACCCCAGCCAGGAAGCCAGCCCCAACCCGACCCCCCCACCCCGCCCCCCCAGACCCACCCCCCCAGGACCAACCAAAACGTACTTTTCGAGACTCCAAAACTGCGTTTTCGATGGTGCCGTTTTCAGCCCCCGAAGCATGCTCTGAAAACGCTTATCCGGAAACCAACGAAAACATGCTTTTCGAGACTCCAAAAGTGCATTTTCGATGGTCTGTCAGATGTTTCCTAAAACAGCTCAAAACGCACTTTTCGGCCAGCACTTGCCGACTGGGCAAGTGCACTTTCCTATGGTATTTACAATGGATTCGGCACTTTGGCGCGCAAATGTCGTCAATTTCGGCTAACTTGCAAAGTGGACTTTCCTATGGTTTTTACAACGGATTCGACACTTTTCCATGCTTCTTGAAGCCATTTCCGAAAAAGACCGAAGTGCACGTTCCTATGGTTTTTACAATGGATTCGACACCCGTCTTTGCGCAAGCGACTGGGCAAATCTTTGCGCAAGCGACGCGAATTTGTTTGCGTAAGCGACGGTGCTGCCTTCACCCAGGACGCCACATCCCCAAAACTTTAAATAACGGACTTCATCGATCGGATTTCTGAGGTCTGTACAGGGTTTCGTGAGCGCCTATGGACCGTTGCGAAGCAGTGCGGAATCGCACTTTGGGGTGACGGTGGCTGAGTCCATGAGCATGACCCGTCTGCTCAAAGCCAGCAACAGGTCCTTTAAGTCTTCAGGGCCCAGAGTGATTTATTTCAAGCTGAAGTCGTGCATCTCGTAAGCTACGGCGAAACCGCCCAACCAGGCATTACAAGACCCAAGCTTTGCCAACCTATCTCAACCTGCAAACCCTAAACACATCTAAACACCAAGTTCCAAAGACCCTCACAGCCGTCACACCTGTGACCTTCACAGCTGGAAGCCAGTATTGGGTTGAGCAAACCCGCCCTTCCTTTTGGCAGCTTGGTACAGTCCTGCAAAACGATAAGAGTAACACAACCTCTGCAGAGCGTTGAAGTGTACAGACCTTAGGAACCAAATCCTAAGCCCCGTATTGTAAGCCTACTCTACAACATTCCCAACATGCATTACTCCCGAAGGCCGTGGTTGGCTTTGGCGGGAGTTGTGCCCTGAATTGCATGGGCTTTGACTGTAGGTTTCTGGCGAAGAGACTCAGTTTAGAGGATCGGAGTTTGTGGCTGACACAGACTTGTTCCAACTGTGCTTTCCAGGGGACGTCACCCCTTAGATTTTGCGTTTGACCCGTGAACTATCCCCTGCCACACCGGTACCGCTCTATCCATCGCATTGTTTGTTCGTTTCCGTTTCTTCAGGCATCTCTCTGTATCGGTTTTTTCTTCAGCTTTCGCGGCAGTTTGTCCTCGGACCGAAATTTGGCTACTTTTGTGGTGTCGGTGTCTCGGTTTTGGAATGCTTGGGATCTGGCGGTACCTTTCCGGGCCCGGTGTTTGTAAACTTCACGTGGGCCTGCAGAGCCAGCCAAGCGCTTGCTTTTGATGACGTTTCCGGCCTCCACATGGTCTGGCACTGGTAACATGATCTGGCAAGGCGTTGACATGTGCTGAGCCTTTCCTCTACCTCGGACGTTGGTAGTGCAGAAGTAATCTTTCGTCAAAATGTGACCATCACCTGTACTGCTGCGACTACCATCACAGCGACTTTTCCAATTTTTTGATTCTCTGGCCCCTGCTCCTCGCAAAGGTTACTCCCGTGCTGTTCTTTTGGGCCATGTGGCGACATGCCAACTTTGGCCACGGACTCAGTGCTTGAGGTGTGCGTGCCTAAGCACCTCTGAGGCCTCGCTGTGGGAAGGTCCCATCTGCGGGTCACTCTGAGAATCCACATTCCAGCATACCCCAAATCTTGAATCTAAATTAGTAGCCCAAGCTGTCAGTGAGCAGCCCCGCTCGCAAAGTATTTGCACCAGTCATTGGTGACATGTTGACAGCCCTGACGAATGTCCTGAAGATTCGGTAGAGAGCTCCTTCAAATGCTTGCGACACAACCTTCGAAAAACCTTGTGCCCAAGCGCAGTTCACTTGGGCCTCGCCGCTTTTGCTGGCATGCTGCTTGCTGGCTCTAAGGAGCGCATGCTATCGTGGTATGTCGTGTGCAGGCCGCATGATGCCACATGTTTTGTTTGTGATCGCTTGTTTAAGTGTCGTGACAAGTTCGGGGGAGGCTCTGATTTAGGTGTCATAAGATGGACCTTAGCCTTAGCGTTCCCTGCCCAGGCCTCCAGTTCCACCCATGAGGGCTCTGTGATACCGAGAGCATAAAGAAGCCGAAAGCTTACTGACCCAGCTTAAATCGCGGTCTGATTGTGCAGTAGTGTGCCACTGTGAGCTGTCGCCGCAAGCTCTACACCCCACACCCAACACCACACAACACAAACCCACGGCCCTGAGTTGGTCTTTGCATGCTCCCCACCAAGGCTTTGAGTTCTCCACGCTGGCCGACGGCCCAGCACGATTGCAGGTCTAAGGTTCCGAGACGAGTAGTAAGTAGTATAGTTCAGACTTGCCGTTCGGGGTTGGTGTGCTTCGGGTCTAGGTTGAGCGACTTCGGATCGCATCTTTTGTCGTCCTGATGGACCTGTCCCCAGGCCTCTAAACCCTCAACACCTGTCATTTTCAGCCCTGAGCTCCAAAGCCGATTCCTTGATTCTCGCATTGCAGGCTGCAGATCGCCTCCCGCGCATCCCCACGACCTCCTGCCTAAACACTCACGAGATATACATAAAAGCTCATGTGTTCAGTTTGTACAGATATCTAGATGGAGGTTTTCTATGTGTGCGTATTTGCCAGCACACGCAGATACTGTATTCTCCGTATGCTTGAGAAGCAAATCGACATAGTAAAAACTATGCAGGTAGGCAGGTATGTATGTAGGTATGTATGTAGAATTACTGCTGCTTCTGCTGCTGCTGGAGTTGGAGGTTGAGGACTCCTGCTGCTACTGGTGTTGCTCTGGGTATTAGTTTGATTAGGCAAGCTGTGCTTGACTCTCATCGGATCCTTCCCAGGTCATCTATCACACATTTCGCACGGGACCTCGATTCCGCATGTTTGGCCATGTGCACACGTTGGTGCACAAGGAGGGTCATGCTTCTCGGCTCAGTTCGGGCGTTGCCCGATTCCAGAGCCTCCGCGGGCCCTCTGGAATCACAAACCTCCCATCCCAGAACACCGTACCAAAGGCTTGAGATAGCTCCGGAAGGACTTCGGTGATCACACTTTTCGAAGACTTTGCGACATGTCATGCAGACAGAAACATTCTACTGGAAGCCGTCGCAATGAAACCCTTGTGGAACCTTCATACAGACCTAAACCACCTTGTAAGGCTCTCTTGAAGCCCTGAAAAAGGCGCCGACACACCCAGGATTGTCGGAACTACGCCGAGCACCTAACGATCTAATGCAACGCTGTCAGACACCGAAAGACAGAAGCGCAAAGCAAAACCAAAAGTCCACTCCGGGCGCTATGCCTCGAATCGTGACAAGGACACCCCTCCGTGCTTTCCCAATTCAAGAAGAGTTGGGCTCTCTAAGTTCAAAATACGATGCAGCATTGAGATGCTTGGGACGGTGGTTTAAGACAATAACTTGTAGAGTCTACGCAAAAAGCCTTTCGAGCATAAAGTGTAGTACTGAGGACTTAGCCGACCTTACTGGAACTAAGGGATGTGGAGGTCTTTGGCAACTTTAGGGTTAAACAATCTGGAGATCGGAATCGGCACCCCAAATCCTGAACCAGAAACCCTAAAGCCCTTAACCCAAAACCCCGCAATGCTAAAGCCCAAACTGCACCTAGCGGTTTAGCGGTTATGCATGGTCATACGATGATCATGGTTAGCTGGGCCAAAAATTGAACGCTCGTGGGGCCGCGTACAAACCTTGTGACTCGCACGAGTTTTGGTTTCGAGTTTGAGGTACCATTGAACCTGTTAAGTCGCTCAAAATCCCCCGCATGGTGCCACAACTCGTATGACCTTTGTAGAGGCCAAGGTACAAGCCCCAGCACAATCACCATACACCCTGAAGTCTGTGCAAATCCGAGCGAAGAACCTCAACCCGAACGCGATACCGGACACCCTAAACCCGAGTCTCGATGCGCTGAACTGTAAATAAGTAGAAGCCCTAAACCTGAACAGTCTAGCGCTCTAAAGCCGTAAAAACCCTACAGCCATTACCGCTCAAAGCCGTAGTCGAACCTACAGAAGCCCTCCAAGCAGCCCTTAGAGGAGCCGAAACCCTTAAAGCCCTGCGAAGCCCCGTCAGAACCCTGAGAGACACCCTTGTAGAAACTTTTCACAGGATCCTTGTATACATGGAGTTCTACAGGGACTTTAACAAAAATAAGGCATAATATAGGGGGCTAAGTAATTACCAATTAAGGCCCCTAGATTACAGCCCCGCAAGACCCGTGAAATCCCTACGAGACGAGGCTCACACCGGCCTCTTCCGCAAGGCTCTCTGGCCGATGAACTACGTGCGACCTGGCAAAAAAAGGACTCGCCCTAAGCCCTAAACAGAGTTTTGCTTGGTATTCCTTTGCATTTTTCCTTGTCTTGTTGCGTGGTTTCTTGTTTTTTGGGCTCTTCGGGCCTAGCAGCCTAGCATTACGGGGCTATCTATTTGGCAGATCTTCTCTTCGAATCCTTGCACAAGTATGCTATTTTCGACTCTGGTTTGGGTTTAGCGTTACAGGGTCGTCGAAGTTCTGTATTGTGGATTTGCCTTCACAGTGTTGGGAATCTTTGTGGTGTTACTCTGCATCATCATAAAGCGAGTAAGGCCGTCTGGCCCTCAATCCGAGAGCAGTCCCAGTCCCTTGACCCTTCCCTCTAAAACCCTCTAGCTGCAATTCCGAAAAAGCATTATGTCGTGGATCAATGATAGGCTTGTGTGGGCTTCGCAGGTTCCCAAGGCTTGAACATACCGTTTGAGGCCGAAGCTACAAGAGCCAACACCCCAACGCATGTCCCGGAAGTTCTGACCTTTCGCCGATGATAGTATTTCAGTGGCTTGCATGACCAAGGCACGTTTGAAGCCAAGCCTGGACCCAGAATGGCGTTGGGGTTGTACATGGTTAAAATGTGGAAGGCCTCAAACTCTAAAAGCTGTGCTGGCGAGGTGGGAGTGGTGGGTCGGCCCATTCTACGGCGTGGTTCCGTCCCTTGGCTTGACGACCCGTGTCGCCGACTTGGGGCTTTCATGCTTTCCGCGGGTCCTTGAAGGGCAGACTTTGACCATTTCAGGATTTTGGGGTTCTCGTTAAGGAGCTGGCTTGAAGCTATGGTAGCGATGGACGCAGGGTTTTAGAAACACTGGGTATTCTTAGGAACAGCTACAGCATCGCGCACATGAAGATCCACCACCGCTGGCATAACGACGTCGATGACGTTCACACGCGCCTGGGGCAGGCTAAGAGGGCTCCATCCTGTGCAGCTGAGTGTCCCTACAGTCAGGCACGAGTGCCATAGCATTGCTACTGACACGATGACGAATCCCAATGTCTTTCAGGCTTCGGATCTAGTGCCGGCACGAACACCAATGTTACTTCAAACGACGACGACGACTGCTAGTACTCCTGCCGCCGCTGCCGCTGCCGTAACCGCTGTTGCTGCTGCTGCTGCTGCTGCTGAAGATGCTACTGATATGATGGCTGCCCTCATTCTCTGAGTAGCAGGCATTGTTGCAAAAGGATCTGACAAACATGGGATTTTTCCAATTGCGCACCGTCTGTAAGTTTCGCGTCA